TTCTCAATATTGTGGCAACTCCAGGGAAGGGATTACACCCAGTGGCCAGCTTGGAAATCTCCATTCACATCCCAGCCTCGCCAGCTCCTCTTTGATCTGTGGGCCAAGGGAGAAATGGGCTCTGACACATCTAGCTGTGCTGGGCACTGATTTAAAACCCTCCGCGGGCTCTGTCCTACATCAGAATTTTAATAACTCAGTTCAAAGTGGGTTCAAATCCTCATTTTAGCAAGTTCTGACAACACTAACAGCAGTACCTGGAAGCATAATATTAAATTACAAAATGTTGGAGATAATTCTCTTACCCCCTTGCTGTGCCTGTCAGCTTTATTTTCCACATAACTCAAAGGGTAGGCAGCCATAAAGASCATTTACTGGGAGGAAAGAGCTACTTCAGGATACTCCCAGCTCCATWTCTGTTACAGATGAGAGCGCACCTCCAGAAGACATTGAGAAGGTGGCAAATTACGTCCTGCAAATAAACCTTCCCCTGACTCCACAAGAGCTCACAGACATGCTGGGYAAAATCAAAAGCATTATGAACCACTGTGAGAAGAACAAAGTGAATAATAAGAGAAACATCAAAAGAGAGGACGCTCAGAYGCTGCTGGTGGAGGCACAAGAAGCCGAGTGAGTAGAGTATTCTCATACTGATGTGCCAGCTCCAGCTGGGGTGGCACTGTGCATAGTAAGGCTGCTCCATAACCCTGACAGTATCCTAGTAACACTGGAGGGAGAGTTCAGATGGAGMTTTCACCTTGCCTTTTCCACAGGGCCTCTCCAGCAGGAAAGAGCCATCACCGCTMGGGCTGCAGGAGCCGATGAGCTGAAAGGAAGCAGCTCCTGACAGTTCTTGGCTCCTCTGCCTGCTGAGTCAGAGAGGCCAAAGCAGCTACTTACTTGCACCTTGGACCTGGTGGATCATTACATCTGGCTCACTGGGTGGTTTAAATTAGGGTGAGAAAGAACCAACAAGGGAAAAACACGTTCACCCATGGATCTGCCCTAGTAGCAGTGCACCACCAGGCAGGCAGCAGCATCCAACCTCACCTTGAGTACAGCAGCTCCRGTGCTTCCACACAAAGTCCATTTCTGGGGTTTTGCTTTATCAACTTACCACAGTTYTAATGGTTGTTGTTGGACTTGGGGAAATTTTCCTGCATGTCAGCACGAGTGCATTTGAAACATGTTCTTGCTTTGCTCACGCCATGATGCTACATACATTTCTTTTTTTTTCCATTTTAGCAAAGCAGCTAAAGCTCTTCCGCCTGTGGATGAAATTAATAATAAACTGAAAAATGTTGTGAAGTCCCAAGGGCATTCCAAAAACACCATCCTAAAGTTAAATGAAGAGATAAAAGGCATCAGAACACAAATCTCTCAGGTATCTTGCTGTAAATATTTTCATTTYTTTGCTATATTTATTAGAAAGATATACTTCACTCTAAAGTTTCCTTAACATAAACTTAAATTAATAAAACCAGAATGTGGCATAGATATGATACTGATTCCATAGTGCTTAAGAGTCTCTTAATCCATTGATTATGTCCCTCATTACCACACTCTGCAAGCTGSATGGTCATTGCATAAGAAATCACAGCCTTCAATTACTCTGTTTCAGGCTGAGAACGAAGTGAACAAGACAAACAATAAACTAAATGACTTGTCAGCCAAACAGACTGAGATGGAAGATGAAAGTGCCACATGGCAGGCAAAAACACTGATGACCAAGAATCAAGCGACAAAGGCAAGAGCAGAGGCAGAAGCAGYTCACAAGCAAGCTCAGAATATTGATAATGTAAGCCCTTCTGTCACATGTTAAGGGAAAAAAAAAATTCCTCCATATTGAACTGTAATTTTGCTTCAGAATCATTGCCCTGCTGTCATCAAAACTGTTAACATTTTCCTTTTGCCACGCAGTGTAAAATGCCACAGGTTAAGAAGAATTTGTGTTTTATTTTAAGGCTTCTGACMTACACTTCTGTTTGCTTGAATGAAAGAAAACATACACATTTCTCTGGCTACTCCATGACATTTTTTCTTGCACTGTGTATAAGACTTGTAGTCACCATGGGCACCAGTAAACACAACAGAGCAAATCACAAAACCAGATATTAAAATACATGAGGGATGGAAGCAGCCTGACCATTCATCCTGTGCTGTTCTCCTTCAGAGAAAGTTGATGTGGGAGTTACTTGGAGTTTTTGGTTGGCTTGGTGCTTTCCAGTAGCTCAGTTTTTTGAAAAAGAGCTAGAAATTTGCTAAAACTGCAAGAACCAAGTATCCACAGCACAAGCTTGGAATATGACTATACTTCCAAGTTACAAGAACCATAGGTAAAATCTAAACTGCAGCCTCAACAGCAACCTGGATCAGCAGGAAACAATTAGCCAGTAAATATTACTACAATCAAAAACATAAAAACCCCAGTGTTGCTACAGATAAATTGTTAAAATTGAATTAAGTCTTATGGCAAAAAGACATTTACAGAAAAGCCCTATCAACAGAAGTAAAAACAGTATAAACTTTAAATATCCTAAGTAATATTTTCTTTATATCCTTGTCCTTCCCCCTCCTTCAGGTTACTCCACTGGTAGTTTGTTTTGCTTGATTTCTACTGTGCTTTGCAAGGCATTTTTCAATGTCTACAAATTAAGAATATATTTTYTAATATTTAAGAGAGTGAGAAATCTAAACTTTGGTTCAGAGAGGATGTTAAAAAAAAGTATTAAAACCTTCTTCTGTATATCAGATTAATTATGAGATGCTTGTAAACTAAGCAACGGCATTTTGTTACAGGAATTTGCTGATGTTAAAAGAAAGTACACCATTCTTCAAGAAAAGCTGAAAACCCAAGGACCTCCAAAAGTAGCACTAGAAAAAGTGAAGCAGTTGAAAGAAGAAGCAGAAAAACTGGCTGAAGAGACTGAAAGGAAGATTAAAAGAATAACAGGTGGTGTTCYCACTTCCACAGTGAGTGGTAAACACTGTGACAGTCATGAATTCAAGGCTGAAGTCTTTGCCCACAAGCACTAACACACTAGGTTCACCTCAAATTAGGTTTAAAACAGTTTACCTGATGAAAATCTTTGCCTGAAACAATTCGTTTTAAAAGTAGTTGAATTGTTTTGGCTTATGTATTTTTTTCTGACATAAACAGGTTGCTATAAGCGAAGTTTAAGAACTGTCCAAACAAGGACTTGCAGTGATTTTCTTCAGTTTTAAAACAGGGCAAGTGCAAAATCTGCATAAAATCTGGCTGCAGATTTAGCTGGAGGCCCTGATTTATGCACTCACTTTGGGCATTTGGACCTTGGATCCTTCCTCTATGCTCTCTTTCCTTCCATCACCTGAGTGAGGGCTTGTGTGCTGGAGCTGTAGGGCAGATGTTTTCCATCAGTCCATACTCATTCCCCTTCACACTCATCTCTGAGCAATGGCAGAACACACCAGGTACAATGAGCAGGTTGTGGAGACTGAAGCTGATGTGCCCTGAATCTGCAGGGCTGTGACTGTGAGGCAGAGGGGTCACGGGCAGTGGAGATTGTGGCTGCTGTGGCCGTGCTGGCACTGCTCCGCACACACGCCTCCTTTTTGTCACCAAAAAGGAAGAGCACATCTCATGTCCCTGCACACAGGGAACCTAATTCTCCTTGTAGTGAAGGTCCGGGCATTCCCACTGTGAATCCTGAGGCCAAAGATCCTGCCAGGTTCAACATCAGGAAATACTGTGTAACACCAGCAGAACTGAAGCTGAAACTCTGTCTCAGCAGAAAACCTTCAGGACATGATCCAAATAAATATTTTGAGCACATACCTCGAGGAGAGGCATTAAGAGAATCTCAGTCACTCCAAATGTCCAGATGATAAGGGCGTTAGGAACAGGCAGCGAATACTGTGGATTTGACTCATTACCAATATGTTTATGTTGGTGTAGCTTCATGGGAACCAGCAGAAAACTGTTACACAACTGAGGGAGACCTAAGCTCATTACACCTCAATTGTCCAGGCTTTACACACATCAGTGGACATGCTGTTCCTCTGAGTGTTTCCATTTAAACCAAGTCCTTTAWGAGCTCCATGTCCTGCCCTATCCTAGCTGATGGACAAAAGCACATGCTGAGAAATTAATTTCTTCCAGGCTGTCATGCTCCTCTTACTATCCAGAAGCCAGACTTTTCSCTCCAGTTGCATATATAGCATTCCCCATTTGAAATGGGCTTATTCCTTCTAAAACTTCTGGGAAAAGAAATGCTGCTAATCCCTAGATTTTACTTACACAACAGATGTGAGCATCATTGCATGTCTCTGCTCTTCCAGATTTAGAGAAGAAACTTCAGGAACTGAATCAAACCAAACAAGATAAGGCAGAGCAACTGAGACAACTAGAGGAACAAGTGATAGCCATTAAAAATGAAATCATGGACCAGGAAAGCAAGTATGCAACRTGCAAGAGTTAGGGTCTGAACAGATAATCAGGTAAAATGCAGCTGAAGTCATCATGATTACCACGTCCTGAGCATCCTGGCACAGGGCACTGTCCTCTGGAAATATGTCTGAAGTGGTCTATAGAATTTAGGCACAGTGAATAATGTAATTTTCTCCTTTTATTTTCCTTTTTCATCTATTGTCCAGTTGAGTTTATATAGAAATAGGAAATACCTTTTAATAAAACATCTGATCTAGTAATCAGATACAGTCTTTGAGTTTCAAAATACACTCCTGTGCACAGTCTAGGGCTTCCCGTGGTGGGGGGTTGGAAATGCTCGGAGAGCTGCTGGTAACTGCCTCAAAGACACTCACAACACCCTATGTCCTCTGCAAACCCTAAACAATGTGGTTATGCCACGACCCTGCTCGGGGCTGYCCAGGCTCGGATGGGGCGATGCGGATGGAACCCTGCGGGCTCCTGCAGCCACCCTTACTGACAGCCAGCATCCAGGCACTGCCACTGCTCCAACCCCGTCTCTTGGCTGAGTCGGAGCCAACCCCATCTCTTGGCTGAGTCGGAGCAGGGATGCCCCAGGACCCCTGACCATGTGCGGGTCCCGCTCTGTTCGCTGAAAATGCGGCAGCTCCGTGCAGCGCGGGGCCGCTGGCGGTGGGCGACAGAGCGGATCCCCCAGCGCCCACTGGATGGCAGTGCGCAGATGCTTAACGCCGAAAGCAACTTAAAAATCTTTTGTCTGGCAATGGTAATCCTGCAATGCCTTTTTTTCCCTTATGCTTATAAGGGGTTTCACGCATTTTTCATTAATGCAGCTAACATCTGGAGGATAAATCCAGCTCTTAGGTTTAAGCAGTAAGTCCAAAGGGCCAGAAATGTTGAAAACCAGTTTCTCCAGCTCTTCTCCCACATGCAGCACTTCACAGAAGTCAGGGTTCACTCAACAGTTTTTTGTAGCCATAAAGAACACCTGAATTGGCCTAAATTCCCTTTTTTATATATAAATAAAGAAGGAAACCGTGGCTAAGCAAATGTTACAGCAGTGCCAGAGTTTAAAAAAGGCTGAAGTGAGCTATRCCTCAGTTTCAAAATCCCACCCTTGGTATACATATTCCTGCARGATGCAGAGCACACTAATGATGGGTTTCCCTCAGTTAACCCTGTCATTCCTGGCTGGACTGTCCCACAGCGAGCGACTTCATTCAGCACGGTGCTGCTTCAGAGCTCAGATATAGCCCAGACCAGGTCTGTAAAASGAGGAATGCTCTGCAGAAACACAGGGCTCTGAACATTTACCCATGCCAGCAGCGCCCGTAAAACAACCCTTATCGATTCAACGGAGATAAACACTGCAYAGTTATCACCCTGTGTTTACAAGAGCTAAAGTAGCATTGGTATGCGCTGGGGGCTTGGGTGGGAACTGCTGGCGGATGAGATTTCTGAGATACTCCTCTAACTCAAACCAGCTGTGAGCCAGGGCAGTGTGCAACGTGCATGATACGTGACACATTCTATTGTGAAAATAATGGAATCAAATTATAATTTTGATATAATCTGACAAAGCCACCTGAACGCAGGACAGCACRTAAATTGTGGGTTAGCATTTTCTGAATTTTAGCACTTTAAAAAAATCGTCTGTGAGGTGTGAGGCTTCTTTCTAAGTTACTAGGCTGTAATCAGATGACTGTATTTAGACTGACTTTGTCATAATGAAATCGAACATCACTGTTTTACTTGCAGCACACACCAAGCTGCACACATGSAGGTCTCCAAGCAAGGAAGAGTTTTCTGCAGGTTTCAGTGCATCCCTGCTGCACTGCACCTGGAAGRGGCAAACTAAAGCCCTTAGACAGAAATTCCCAATTGCATATAAACCAAAATTATTTCATTCATGGCTTTAAAAATCTGAATTCACAAGCAAAAAGTTGAAAGAGAACTTCCTCCTAAAATCCACTGTTGACAGTGAGAATTGCCGTATGGCTTTCCACAAGCTGCGTGGATGAGAAATCTGTAACCACAAGGCAGTTAAGTGTGCCTGGAGGGGACATATATCCACGGGGGGGAAACAGAAATCGCTGGAAGAAAAACGGAAGCAGGAAGAAGAAAGTCAGCACAGAGTCTAATCTCCCTTGCCTTCCTCCAAGCATGCTCAGACACACAAAGGAAGCAGATCTGATGGGACCAGCAGCTACAGAACTCCAAATCCATCCTGTGACAGCTTCTGAGGTTTACAACTGTGCAGCATTTCCGACTGGAAGTGATGCAAAAACTTTCAAAGTGTTTTTGCAGACTTGATTTGTGGGGGAAATGCTGTCTCTAGATAAAAAGTACCTCTTTGTAGTTCTCCCTGGACCTCTTCCTTTTGGGCAGAAGTGGCTTCAKAAAACTGTTTCTTGAAAAAAAAAAATTGAAATARGTATCTTGCTGCAGAGCATTTTGACTTCAATGGCATTAATAAAAATGCAAACAACAATTAACCAATGTACAATCACAGATATATTTAATCAAAATCATATCRTCAGCTCTGTCTGCTAGGCATTCAACCACTGCAGTGTTTCAAGAAAAAGGGCGATCAAGTGGCTCCCACTGAGGTCAAATCCTGAAATTTTGTTATTTGAGAAGACTTCCAACCCAGCACAAACACAGATGATACTCCAGGGCTGTAAAGGTGGCTCACCAACCACAAGGATAGGGCGTGACACAAAAGTGAATTTTTATCACTTGAAGAGTCAAAATACACCTACTCACTATTTGTCACAAGGACTGCAGAGAGGGAGGGACACAAGTTCCCTGTTCCTAATCACTCACACACTAAATGTGGTGGTCTCAGTTGCCTCTGAAAGAGGACTGCGGTTTTGGGTGATGGTGGCCATCCCAGTCCGTGCTGAAACTCCAGCTCCATCCTCGATGTCACACGACAGGGTCACCCCCAGGCTGGAACAAAGCATGTTTTCATGCTGTCTGTGGCAAGGCACAAAGGAGCCTATAAGGGAGAACAGGACTTCTACAAGGCTATGAAACAGAGGGGGAAAAAGGAGAACACTTCAATAAAAGCTCAAAAAACATGGGACAAAAAAAAGTCCAGTGACAATGAAACAGTTGCATTTGGGATGATGCTGCTGCCCATCTGCCATGGATCAGAGGAGGTTCCATTCTAACAGCACAAAAGTAAAACATTTTCTGTAGTGGGGGGACAAAAATGTTTGTGGTACTRAAGCTTAAAAAGTATGTCAGGGTTATGAAATTGAATTTGTTTTGTGAATTTAGAAGACCACATGCAGAAGAAGTTTATAATATTACAATTCCTGTCCTCTCAGCTTAGAATGATTTCATTTTGTGGATATCTTTAATGAAACAGCTCCACAAGTTCTTTAATCCGGAGTCTTGGGTTATGTTTCAAACTTGGTGTTTAACCTTTAGGGCAAGTCACTTGGTATCTCTCTGTTTCTGCTTATCCATCTGTAAAATGAGAATGAACATATTTACCTACCCCGGCAGGGTTTGCTGGGCCGGACAGACCATGGTGTGTTTTCACTCTCGCATTGCAAATAGTGAGGGCAAAGTGTTCTTGAGGGACACTGGCACCTGGTAAAGATTTACACAAGTTCACGTGTCACACGTGCGCAAGCAAAACCCGGGTATATAAACCCAGGCATTTGTCCCTGCCACATCCATCTTTCATTCACACTCCTTGATGGTTTTTTACCCGTAAAGCTTTTCCCTGGGTGCTGAGGGGACTCTGCCACCGGCCAACCCCYTGGCTCTTTGCTGGGTTTTGGGCCATCCATCCTTCCCAGGGGCTTGGCTCCATCCGTACCATCGGCTGAAGGCAGGATTAGGTTAATTACCCCAATCCTTCGTTGTTATTCCACCGACAGGGGCAGGGAAAGGGGCACACGATTGGTGATTTCCCCCATCTATCGGCCACCACTTTCCCATTGTCTGACCCCATCTGGAGCCCGCTCCCGACGCTGGGGAGCAGCGGGAAGTGCACAACTTGGGGGGCTAGGGGCTGGAATCCCCCGTGTGCCTCCCGAGGCTCCCTGGCTGCAGCGGGGTGAGAGTTCCCCTGCTCAGCCCGCTCTTCCACCCACCCCGGCCGAGCTGCCCTTCCTCGACGGCKGCGCTCCCTGCCCCGGCTGAGCGCTACGGCGGGGCCGGGCTGTCCCGGGGCGGGGGGCCGTGCGGGAGGGGCTCGGCCCGGCCCCGCGGATGCGGAGGGGCGGAGGAGGAGGAGGGCCGGGGGCACCCGGCGGCGCGGGGCCGCGGTCGGGAACGGCGGCGCCTGCGTGGAGCAGCCGGAGCCGCGGCTTTCGGCGGCGCGTGGAGGGGCAGCCGCGTCCCGTCCCGTCCCGTCGCGTTCTGTCCCGTCCTGTCCYSTCCCGTCCCGCCGGTGCCCGCCGCCCGCCATGGGCCGCCTCCCGCTGTACCTCTGCTGCTGCCTCGGTAACTCCCGCTCCGCTCCGCTCCGGCCGCCGTCGGGGCACGGCGGGCTGGGCGCGCCTCTGCAGCGCCCGCCGGGGCGGCTCRGGGCGCCCAGCCTGGCCCCGCTCCCGCTTCCCTCTCTCACCCTCTGTCCCCCTCTCTCCCTCCGGCCGCGCAGCGCTGTGGCCCGCGGCGGCACAGGAGCTACAGGAGCCCGAGTACAGCTATGGCTGCGCCGAGGGCAGCTGCTAYCCCGCCACCGGCGACCTGCTCATCGGCCGCGCCTCCCGCCTCTCCGCCTCCTCCACCTGCGGCCTCCGCCAGCCCGAGCCCTACTGCATCGTCAGCCACCTCCAGGTGAGCGCCGGCCGCGGGCAGGCAGCGCTCCCGGGTATCGCCTCCTGTGCGGGGTTCGGGGACTGCGCGGGGCACACACCCGTGGGCAGCCCCCGGGCCAGGGTGGCGGACGAGCCGCCGCCTGAGGGAGGGAAGCGCGGGCAGCCGTGTCCGGTGGGGCAGCATCGTGCCCCGTGCGGGACCCCACACACCGGGTCCRGGGAATCCCTCGCGGCTTTCGGCTCCCGACCCCCCTTTCCTTTCGAGGTCAATAAGGAAGAATGTGCCGCACTAAGTTCAATTAATGCTCTATTTCCAGGCTCTCTCGGAGCCGTCTAGACAGCTTCCTGATGGAGAGTGGGCTGTAGGGCCCGGCAGTGTTTTGTCCACAATCCCCGTAATGTAATTACTTGTGTATGGTCTCGGAGTGAAAGGATGCAAATAAGGATATCTCAGCACATCTGGTGAGCTCGTTGCTTTTTAAAGCCAGAAGCAGCTCACCTAATTTAAAACCTCTGAGAGAGAAGGGATGGTGGAGAAGAATAAACTATCAGTTATAAGTTGAACGCTRTTGAACTGAAAGTAAAGGGATAATCTCCGGACGAATTACTGTGGAGACAATAGGGCCGGATTCTGGCACTTGGAAGGAAAACCAGGGGAAGCAGGAGGGGCTGTAGCACTTGGGCCATTTATGCCCTGAAGTTACCAAATCTCCCCTCATCCCTTTCCCTACCTAAAGTTTTATCATATAAGGCTCTGTCTGTTAGMGTTAATACTTTATTTAACGTGGGATTAGCTTCACTGAACTTTTCCAGTGAATTGACTTTAACAACGTAAGCATCTCTGGTAGGACARAATAACAAAGGCGCTTTGTTACATTTTCTTGTGTCAAAAAATGTTGAACTGGTGTAGTAAAGAGCATCATTTCAGTTCTCATGTGCCCATGTTCCTGAGCTCCCAGCCCTGTTTCAGCATTTGGGATGTTCCTGGTTACTTTTGAACCCTAATGTGTGGTATTGAAGAAGTCATGAGAAGGTGCCAGTATCCTCTTACTAACATGAGGCTTGACCGCACTGAGTGCTTTGCACAACTAGGCCTTCTAGGATTCAATTTTGGTCAGAGAAGGACAAGTTGTGACATGAAGTCACAAGTATGGGGAGAGAAGCCCAGAGTACACAGTAGGGAATGTCTTCCCTGGGACCCCTGCTCTTGCCATTCTTTCTGCTGGAGGAGTCTTTGAGGGCTGGTGGGAGGTGAAGCCCTGATCTTGGGAGGAGCCTGCGAAGCCAGAACTGGGGAAATGGAAAGCCTGTGCGATGCAGACCTGCCAGTGCTCACATTCTTGGCTGATAAAGAATTGTGCTTGTCTCCATAAACGTGCTGGAGGAACGATGCCTGTGTAGCTTTTGGCAGTGATGAGTTGCTGGTGTGTTGGAACTCCCTCACTGCTATCCTRTGAGCTCCTCTCCCTCATCTGCCCACTCCAGGTGGTCTGGGCAGGAACCCTGCCTTTTGGTTCCATTTGCACCCCACCTTGCATGAGAAAGTGGTGGTTTTAGGCACTAGGACAACACAAAACCAGCACTGTGTGTAGTAATAGTCATGATCTGGTTTTGTCCTCCTAGTGAAGAAGTTTCTGCTTTTCCCAAGCAGCACGGCCAGACTTGATCCAAGCTGTTTTGTTTGGGCACAGCTTGTAAYGTGTGCAGATGGATTTTATGTGCTCAGCTTGGGATTGCAATAGCAGGAGAAGATGCAAGGTTTGGGCCAGAGTTTGACAAGCTGGTTTCAGAGAAAAGGGCTAAGTCACTGAGGGTCCCTTGATGTGCACTGAACCTTAGGTATCCCTAATGCAGACAACTTGTATGTCCAAGCCAGCTTCCAAAAGCCAGTGTTATTTCACACAACTGGTTAAGATGCAGTTTTGCAYGTGTGCATTTTTACAGAAGCAATTCAGCAATTTTTGTAGATGCTGCCTTTGGTTCTGAATTCCACTGGAGAATAYGTGTGCTAGARCAGWTTTCCTGMAACTGCAATTTTGATTGGAAACATGCTTCCCCTAAAAATGAAGTTTATGGAATTCCTGGCATATTTTCCATTTGGCAATTTGCATTAATTCATAAAGGTAAATACACTTARCGTTTCAATGAAAAAATACCTTTGATGACTCCTGCAGGCAAAATGAGTGGAATGTGATATGGATGGAAAATACTCMTATCTSCAGGAAGCAGCTATTGCCCCATGKWTAAAATCAGTAGTGCTGATTATCGTGTTGTTTCAGGAGGACAAAAAATGTTTCATATGTGACTCGGAGGARCCCTTCCACGATACTCTCAATCCCGACAGTCATCGCATTGAAAATGTTGTCACCACGTTTGCTCCAAATCGCCTGAAGCTCTGGTGGCAGTCGGAAAATGGTATGCGGCTTGGCCGGAGCAATTTCCGGGGCTGGGAGCTGTTTTCCCTCCTTTTGTTTAAGGRTACCTGTGGGTTTGCTGTTACCTCTGGCCTGGTGATTACTGCCCTGTGAAGGATCATGCTGTGTGAGGAGCCATGAGTAAAACTGGTTGCTTTTGTGTGCCCTGGAGCGGTCCTTAATCTGTAACAAAACCCCCTGAGTCCTCCAGGAGTGTTGGAAACAGCTGTTCAAGCACTCTGCAAGAATCCTTTCCTAAAGAGAAGAGTTTTCCACGCTGGCCTCAGATCTCCCTTATATTCGGGCAGCAGGAGCAGAGCAGCTTTCCAGGAGTAAATATCCCAGGGTAGCGCTGCCAAGGAAGCACAACAGGGYTTCCCCACACCGCTGGGCTGCAGGCTGGGGAAGGAGGAGGTTTGGGCACAGGGCTGTTGCCCTGCCTGCAGACCTCCCATTTCCTTTTCCCACCCCAGGAGAGTAAAGCCAGGGATRTTTCTTACCCTACAAGCTGCCTTCTACCTCCTGAGCTCCCTGAATTTCTGTACTATATGCCAAACAATAAAATGAACTGCAGAAACAAGCCAACTAGTTAAAAACAAAAATTGCATATTAGTTTGGTGGGGTTTTTCTTTTTTTTTTTCTTTTAATCCTTCCTCCATCTGTTTTACTTTTCTGGTTACTTTTGGCATGCCTTCATACACAAAACAAGGCAGTGAGAGTTTCTCAAACAGCAGTCCTACACTGAAGCCTTAAAGCCAGCTGGACAGGATGGGATTTCTCCATATGCACTGGCAGTAGCTGCCTTACTGTATATGAAAAGAAAGGTAATATTTGTAACAGTTTTGCTGCCTGTTAAAGAAAAATTTTCACTAAATTCTTTTTAACTATTTAGATTAGCCTAGCAAGCTGCTTGCCTCCAGCAGCTCTCTACTAGCATTCCAAATAATTCATGTTTTTTGCAACAGGCTTGGCAGCATTCACACAGAAAAGTTCTTAGCTCATAAGGTCATGAAAATGTCCTTCAACAAYAAAAAACAAATGATTCTTTCTGTCCAATTCATGTTTTCGTCTATTCAGGCATACAGCATAAGGGACCATTGCTGCATGCTTCACAGAATGTTACAGCTGGTCAAAAATTTAAGTGCCTTATTGTTTTTATTATTTTCATTTCTTACCCTTTCTCCTCTCTATGAATCTTGATTTTATTTTTTGTTTCCAACTACAGTATAATTAGTATCCAGCTGTTTTGAGAGGTCTTTTCACAAGGCAAAATAATATTTGTAGCTGTTTTTCTTCCTTTCTGTGTAGAGTCCTTGACCACAGGTATTCGTACAGCAGAGTTTGGAAAATCTTTTGCCTCTCACCATTTTCTTAACCCTTGGGATTGCAAAGCAGAGCTGTGATAGAGTCTTTAGGTTCTAAAGGAGATGTCTTGTGGATAGGAGAGTCCAGAGTGGGTGAAAAATGGTGGAAAATGGCCCCACCAGACATGGGTGAGACTGGGGGTGTTAGGGCTGCAGAAGCTTGTGCTGCTGCTGCCAGAGAGGCTGTGGTGTGAGAGGACAGYGTGGGGCCACCATGCAGCTCCATGCCCAGCATCCCCAGCTGTACTGGGGCTTTGGTGCCAGGGGCCAGCCTGTGGTGGTCCCATCCTTGCCCCACATCCAGTGATGCCAGTCACAGTTCTCAGTGTGAAATAGTGGCCCTGCAGTGGGATGTTTGGTGCTGATCATGCACAGGAATCCCATGTGTGATACTCTTCAGCAGGTCCTTGGTGTCTTCCCCATACCTCACTTGACCCTCATAATCCTTTTTCACAACAGAGCCAAGTGGTAAAGAAAATAGTCTCTCTGTGCCAACAGAGTGAAGGCAAAATTTAGATGTAGAGAGTGGCAGGTGTCCTTGTTTGCTGAACACCACCTTTTCTCTGCCCCTGCAGGTTTGGAAAATGTGACTATCCAGCTGAACCTGGAGGCTGAGTTTCATTTCACTCATCTCATTATGACCTTTAAGGTAAGGAAATCACAACCTTACCCTGAACCCTAAAACATGAGGAAATGAGAGGTCTCATAGTCCTTCACATCTATTTRAGATTTGGGATTTGGGCTTTGTCAGAGTGCTTTGGCCTGATTTTTTTTTGGAGCTGCCAACCATTAACCTGTGGTGAAGCCATGCAGAAAGGCTGAGTGAGCCTGCAGAAGGAGTCATGCTGAAGCTGGGTTTTGTGTTGGAGTGTCTGTCTGGTGGTTGTGTTCTAGAAGATTATTAGCTAAACCATATAGTAGCAAGGGTGTTTTTCCTAAAAAAGTTGGCCATGGTATCAGTTTTCATTTGGCAAATGGAAAGGTCGTCAGGAAGAAGGAACATCTGTACACAAAGTGTCTTTGTTTTTTTTACAACAGATGTCTTGGAATGGTAGATTATGTCCTGTACATCCTAAATGCTCTTCCCATGTGGACAAATTAATCTCCGCATTTTTACGCATCAGCTTTCTAGGACAGACGGTTCCTCTTTCCTGTGGTGTTGTCTAGGGTTTCTCCCCTGCCTTAAAGTGGCTGAGGTGGAAAAGTGCTCCTTTCTGCTGGAGCCAGCAGTTAGGG